AAAATATAATTTATATTTATGTTGTATACCTATACCTAATTTACCTGGGTGTACGTAGAACTGTCACACACAAGAGCGTTCAGCAGGACATTAAAGCTGCTGGAAGCGTAGCGCAAAGCGCTTGCTAAGCGCTGAGTTCTGCTGAACGCAGCCAATGTGTGTATATGTAGCATAAAAAGTTTCTGTTTTGTTTTGATTTCTTCGTTCGTAATCACCTTTTCGCTCAATGTGTAATTTTGATACTAGAATTGATGTCTTTTTCGACATAATGAGTGCAATATATCCACTACATTAAATGAGATGTATTTATGTAAAAATATGTGTTACACACAACATATTTATGGATTGAATCGCTATACGATTTGTTTTCGTTTCTTCGTTGTAGGCATGTAGGCAGGGGGGCTGCGCCCTCCGCAGGTGGAGGGGCTTCGCCCCTTCTCCCCTCTCGAAAAAAAATAGAAAACGACTTCTGATTACAGCTTCATGTCGATAGTATGTACGTGATTTTTAACGACACTTAATCAGAAGTCGTTTGCTATTTTTTTTCGAGGGGGGAGCAGGGAAGATCAGGGGGGAGGGGCGAAGCCCCTTCACCTGCAGGGGAGCGCAGCCTCCCCTGCCTACATGCTTTCAACACACAAAAAATGTACATGTCGGGAAAAAAGATTTATTTATGAAACTTTTTTTGATCATAACTTTTTTATAAACAATGAGCGACGACTAAAATTTTTAGAAACGTACTCAGGAAGGTCATATTTACAATATATGTGAACGAGTAGCCGATCGGAGGGGGCTCCCCTATTCTATATATTTACCATAAAAACCAATATACGACAAGTAGCCTTTAAATAGTAGTTAATTTAAATTTTTTATTTGACACAATAAAAGTTAAATATGGTCTTCATAATTACATTTATATAAACATTTTTATACATATGTTACTTTTATAACTTTAGCTTCTAAAAGGCTAAGAAATATTTCAAAAATTAACTTAAATATTATATATAGTTTCAATATTTATGCACTCCGGCAAAGTGTACTTTCTTTCCTGCTCCATCTAAAGCTTCCATTAAGCTTGATGTGAAACTAAATTCTGAACTACTTTCATCTGTTTGACCTCTGTAAAAAAATATACATATTTACATATTATTAATTTAGAGATACGCGCGTGCGCGTATTTCTAAGTAAATTTGAGTATGTTAAAGAAGATAAGATATATGACATACAATGTGTCCAGACTTGATAAACTGCCATACAATCCTGACATGTTAGAAGAACCATCTATTTTTAGTAATTCAAGATAAGAATTTGTAGTCGCCACATAAATTCCTTTTGAGCTACTTGTACCAAGGTAACGTGGACTAAACAGTTCGATTAAAATACGTATAGGATTTTTATCTGACGAATTATACGTGTCTGCATCAAGTTTTACAATCTCGACAGATGAAAAATGAATAATAAACAAATATGGCTTGCAGAATGCTGAAATAAAATGACTTGATAAGACTCTTTATTATATTATTTCCTGTATTATTTCCTGTAACCATCTTGGATGTCAAAAGCGAGAAAATAGTTACTGCAACTTACTTTGTGAAAATAAAAAAATATTTTCACACAAGTTCAGTTTTCACTAATAAAATATATTTGTAAAGTATATTTTTTAGATATAAATATCTTTTTTTATTTAAACAACGAAAATGATTGAAATCAGGGACATGGTTTTGTGTATCCTCGACTTTTAGGATCAGTCGCAACAACTTGAGAAATGCAAAACTTTCTCGCAAACAAGACAAAACTTCACATATTTTTTCGCTTTTAACATTATAATTCGAACATAGTTGCAACAGAAGTCTTAAATAATATTAAATACAAGATATACACATATCACATAGAACATAATGTATTTCAAGATGTTTTCTCTAAAACCATAAAAGATAGCGAGCAAATTTTTTTTGTATTTGTGAAAAGATGCAAGAGGAGAACAAACCTTAGAAAAAATAAACCGCAATTCACACACACACACACACGCACGCACGCACGCACGCATACACACACACACACACACAAATAAAAATCAGTTTAGCAGTTATGTCTTTCCTAGCCGTTATTTTTAGTTTGAATCGATAGATCATGCTTTTGATTTCAGCGTTTAGTTTGTTCAAATTTTAAATAATAATTTGTAACAAGTATAAATAATAACAGTACTTAAATAATGATTCAAAGAGCATAACAGAAAATTACTCATATGAGTATGATAGAAAATTAATTTCTTTCATAATCTTGTTTATTTGCGTTCAATCTAATGTTATATTTTCAAATATCTTGTTGATTTGGATAGACAAAAAGGCTAAAAAAAGCTAAACTCGAAAACGTTTCTCTATACTGTGAACGATTAACTTATGGTAAATATATCACATTTCATTAATATGTATTGAAAAATTAATAAAATTAAACACTCAAAGTAAAAAAAAATTCTAATTTATAGTTTTTATAATTATTTAGTTCTTATTGTATTAACAAATGTATGACAGTGTGTAGACAACATTGTGAACAATTATCATCTATATATGAATAAAATGATAATAAACACTTTTAATTTTTTTTAATTCCATTTTATTATTTTGAAATAAACAATTTTTTGTTATACTTTTTCAAAAATGTAAAAAATGTAAAAATAAAAAAAATATTTTATATTACTATTGTTTCATTGCAAGGCAGTTATTGAAAAAAATGTTAAACTGTTTATATATCTCACTTTAGTAAGAAAAAATAAAGAAAACACTTTTTATTAACATTCACATTCCTTCAGACATTGGCATAATGTTATTCTCTCTTTCAAATGCTCTGATAAGCTACTTAAAAATTACACGAAGAATTTGCTTGCTATTTTTATAGTTTAGAAAAAAATACTTTGTATATTTTGTTTGGAATATATTCTAAATGATTATTATATTATAACCTTTATATTTTATATTGTAACCTTTTATAGTTTTATATTTTATAGTTTCCTACATACAATAGTTCCTCGCTAACTGTTCGCATTTTTCTCTCAGTACCGAAAAAGTCATCCCCACTAATTCCTAGAAATGCTTCGCTATTCCTAGAGGCTTCGCGCGAATTAGTCGGGATGACTCCGCCGTGGTCGAGCCAATCAGAGATAAAGGGCCGTCTACAATGGAAGTAGGTAGTATAGAGTAAGAAATAAGGTTCTTGGAGTCATTTCATTTTTGTCTATACAAGTAATTATTTCGCGTTTTTTGACACGCGTTTTTTATTGGCTAACAGTAAGGCAGTAGGCAGTGCGAAATGGGAATTGTCCATTTCGTTATTCCCATCGTTTCTTCACCGAAAAATAGTTTACTCTCTATTCCTACAGCCTTACTACCTTCATTGTAGACTAGCCATAACAACCGGCAATTTTCGGAACAATACCTTCCTCGATATCGGTCCGCTCGCGGAACCGAAGACAATTGGCGAGGAATTACTGTCATATTTTATGTGATTGTTTTGTATATTTAACGTATTTAATTGCATAAAATAAATGATACATACCAAAAGCAAAAGGTAAATGATTCCATACTGGCTTAATAGCACGAGTTTTTCTGCCATTTTCGTTTACAAATACACCAAATTCATTATAACACAGTAAAAGTTCAGTCGTATCACGTGTGTTCGAGATATTTAAAATGCAAATAGGAAATATACCAACTTTAGCTTCGTCATCAGAAAATTCTACATTATGCATAAAAACATATTGTCATTGTTAAAAACATAAAAAAGCTTTGAGTCGCATGTAATATATATTTAATGTTTTCTCACCAACTATATTATAAGTTTTTAAATCGATTTGGAAAAACTTTTGACATCCTATAATGAGGAAATTGGATGTAAATATGGCACAACTGCAAGGTTCTTCAGTTTTAAATTGGTGAAGCCTGACAAAATTTTCTTCGAAATCTTCTCCAATTTTCCATTTAAGTAACCTACATAAATAATGTAAAAAATAATTTATATAAAATTCAATACGCGCACTATATTTAAAAAATTTACATACATTACATGAGATGCAGTGGCAACACACAATATTTCGCCTTCTAATTGATAAAGATGGCAACTATCAGGAGCAGATAACACGCTTTTTGTACTGATTGCTGGTTTAGAACAGTCAGCAGCTAAAGCATTATTTTTAAGTAGCTTTAAGTTACAGTACACTAATTCTCTGTATTCACCAGCTATCATTAAAGCTAGATCTAAGTGAGAATGTAGTGAAAGCTGATATATTTGTTTAACACCACGTATTGTAGTGAGCGTTTGAGATTTAGAAGGACAATACGAAAAGAGACCTTCTTTTGCACCTAACAAAAGCACATCTTCCGTGTCCAGATTCACAACACAGTTTAAATCCAACTGAAAACAAATGTATATAATACGCCTTAACATTACAAAAATACTCATGTTTATTTTATTTTAATAAATTGTCTTTTACCTGATGCTTTTCTAATCTAAGTACAATTTGATACTTTTTTGGCATAGAATATAAACTTTGATAAGTAACAGCATCTAAAGCCTTAAGCCAGTTCTTTTTATCGATCTGACTCAGAGCCATGACATCCAAACTGGATGAAGGCTGGCAAATATTTATGGAGTTCGATTTTATTCTAAAGATGAACGGTAAATCAGATTTTGTTGTTCCCAACACATCAGTATGTTGCACCGTGTCAGAAATATTGCACCCATTGTTCTCAATTAAATGCAAACGAGTAAGTGGTGTCATCTCTGGAGACGGCTGATGCTCATAGATAGACAAACAAGTTCCTTCTAATTTCAGATATTTTCTTTCCCAACATGATTTTGACTTACCGGGAACTTTTACCCATCCCTCCATAGAAACTTTGTTTTCATTACAAGAACTACTTTGGTGATTCTAAAACATAAGATATATGTACAACTATCATCTGTCGCGGAAAGTGATGGGACTTCAAGATATCACGATCTAATTTAAAGAGTACAAATTATACATGAAAATAAAAAAAGAAATAAAAATTTATTACTGTTATTACCGTATTATCTGGCTGATTCGGATTATCTGGCTGATCTATCGCCAATGTTTGAACACTATCTCCAATTGACGATAAGCTTTCGTTGCTGTCTCTACATGCTTTGTGATAGTAAAAGTTGGAGTAATTACTTGGTAGACCACAATTTGCAGGTACAGACATCGCGCATTCTAAATGTGTTATAATTTGACACTCGCTACAAATTGCGGCGCGTTTTCCAAATTGTACGACTTCTAGACACGCCGCACATTTTCCAGCACGCATAGGCAATTCGACGTTGAATTTATGTGGAATGTTGTGTCCTATTTTTTGTGGAGACAATTGCCTAATTAATGAATTGCTGATCTCCGTCATATCTTTCATTTTCTTGCTTTCGCGTTCTAATGTGGGAGATGTAGGTGCGGACGCGGAGATAATCTTCGCTTTCTCGATTAATAACTGATCTGTTAATGTTTTTACTTTCGCGCGTTCTTTAGCAAGTTGATTTTCTAATTCGCGATATCCTACAGGCATGGCTGCACCTACAGGCGGTATATTCTCTTTTTGTTTCGTACCAAGGATTTTGTCGCATACAGTTTTCTTCTTCTTACTACATTCTTCTAATTTTAATTGTAAGTAATCGATCAATTTAGTCTGCTGTTGCCGAGTACCTTCGGCTTTCACTTCTCTCTCCTGATAGAAATGTCTCATTTCATCGACAATGTTCTCTAATTCTGTTATTCTTAATCTCAATTCTTGGCCTTGATCTATGCTAATTTGCAAATCCGATATAAGCTTGAAATTTGCTTCTTTCAAGTCGTGTATTCTCGTCAAATATTCGCTGCTTTCTTCTTTCACGAGTATCGATTCTTTTTTAGCAGATTCTAAAGCACAACTCATTTCCGAGAACTCGAATTCCAACTCGTCACACTTCGTAGTCAGCTCTTCTACTTGCATGCTGAGCTCTTGAATGAGTTTCTTGTATTGATTTCTTTGAACGATAAGGCTATTTCTTTCAGTTTCTATATCGCTTGTTTCCGATTCTAGTTGCTCGATGTTACGCTCAGCAACTATCCGCCGCATTTTCTCTTCGTCTTGCGCTATACGAGCCTCACGCACTTTTATTTCAGCTGCTTCTAAATCTTTTTGCAGCTTCATTTTATCTTGTATTAATATATTTTCACGCGTTTCGTGATCACTTGTTAATCTCTCGTAATCTGTCAACTGTTCCTCCAATACTGTACAAGTCTCTTTTAAAAGCGCAGTATTTAATTCGTGACCTTTAATATCCTGTTCTAATTTTGCGATTTTTGACTCAAGTTCAGTCTTTTCTTCGCAATATTTAGCAATTTTTTGTGTTAAACATCTATTCTCAGCACTCAAACTATCGACGCGTTCTTGATTTGATCGTATTTGCTTACGAACTGCATCCAGTTCCCTACGTAATGACGCACTTGAAGATTGAAGTTCTTCAATCTGCTTATTAGCCTGGATCAACGCCTAAGAAACATGAAATATATAAGAATTAAAAATAATATACACTCGGTTCTAATAAATGTCTTCTTTCGCATAAAATTAAATCGCACAAGTCTGCTCATACACACAAGCTCATAAAATCTATGCATATTCTGACGGAATATTCGTGCATCGTAAATATATTTTATTTACATTGCATGTTGCTTCTTACAAGAATTTACACTTATGCAGCAAATATTTACATATGATGCACATAAATTACCTGGATTTTACTTCTCAAAACTTAGCGTAATTTTATCTGAGAAGACATTATTAATAAAACTGGTACATGTATAGTCGGTCAATAAGTTTAAGTACAGTAGATTAGAATTTTTTAAGCTGCACAAATTTTAAAAGAATACTTCCCTTACGAAAAAGAACTACTGGCAGTAATATATTGCGGCAGTGGTATGAAAAAATTACTGGCATTCTGTGTAATTGCCAGTAATATTCTCAGTGATTCCTGTAATACCTAATAATAATCTTATGTGATTGTCAGTAATATTTATATTACTGACTCTATTTATATGTAATCGGCAGTAGTTCTTTTTTGTAAGGGTTAATAATGATATTTATTTTTATTATTTTTACTATTTGTTATAGCTTGAACTTTATTTATTTGTCTTTATCTAGTAATAAATTGTAATGATGATAGCATGTTTTCACCTAAGGATGTATGAGCTACAAAAGTAACTTTACAATTTATCAAGTGCAATATGTGTGGATCAACAAGTGTATTTGAATATCTTAAAAAATAATTTATACAACAATGTATAGAAATTAAATCTGGCTTTTCGGTTATCTTCCAATAAAATAACAACTCTAAATATATTGCGAAAAATGATAGAATAGAATTACTTTGATAACATGTCGAAGCAGCTACATACATTCCTATATTCCTGATTTATGATCCAAACGCGAAGTGCCCGTCATAAATAAATGAAACAGACATATTAAAAAACTACAATATAAAAAACTATAATATAATATAACTAAAAATATAATATAATATAAAAAAACTAAAATATGTATTATTAAAAGTGGAACAAAATTGACCCTACAGCAAAATTAATTGCTTCCATATAAAAATAAATGAGACTCAAAGATAGATTCACAGATCATTAATCGTTATTAAAGTGCAAATATTTGTCTGATTTAAAATTTGATTAGTTAATATGTATATTATTAAGAAATTTTGCAAATGGTTCTAATAAGAACCAAACCTTGATAATAATGATAGAAATCTTTAAGTAATACTGAAATAACTATAATCACAAATATTGCCGCAATTGCAAAGATTTTGAAACTTTCTTTAGTTTCTTATTGACTAATAATATATAATACGCATTGCAAAACCAATAGTTGCCAAAATTTGAAGTAAAAAGTTATTCGGACGTTAAAGATAATTAAAAAAAAATTCTCAATAGCAACATTATGGCAAAACTGTTTAAATGGAAATAACTCCATTAATTGAACAGTCTGTCAAGAAGACTGTCAAGATACAATCGGTAGTCAAAAAAGTCAAAATATAAATATATTCCCATCTGCACTTCTTTTTGCCGTGATTTTTTTATATTGGTTTTTAATTATGGAGAATTTTTCACTTAGACGTCTCTAAACAATTTTTTTTTTTTTCAATTTATAGTTCAACAATTATTAAGATTTTGCGATGCATGTTATATGTATTTTTCAAATTAAAAAGAACCTAAAAAAATCTAAAACGTTTGCTTAATATTTATATTTTTGGAATTATATTTAGAATTAATTATTTTTACGAATTATATTACCAACGTTTAGCTCTATTTGATCTTTTTCAAATTCTTAAGTTTTAATTATCAGAACCATTTTTCTCTATATTTATTGACAGTTTTCTTAACTGTCTCAAATTTTTACTAATATTATTACTATAAAGAACACATGTAAAAAATTACAAAAAGTTTTATTTATTTAAATTAGAATAATATATTACAATAAGTTTAACCTCTTTGGACTGTAAACCTAAAAAACACCTACGAGAACTAGGTAGACAGTCCGTGAGGCTTTAAGATCAAATATCTTCGCAAAAAATCAATATTTATTTAAAATTTTTTCGAATCAAGAGTTTAAACAATTCTGCGTCGATAAAAAAAGATTGAAAAAATTTCCAGTAGTTTCGAAGATAAAAACGTTTAAAAAATACTTATTTTTTCTATAAATGTCGATGCGCAATTTTTGAGTAGGTCTGGAAGACTTAGTCTACGACGAAGAGTTAAATAAGATGTACAGAAACGTTTTTAATAAGAAAATGTTTTAAATAAAATAAATATAAAAAAAGAAAAATAATTATATAATTATGTATATAATACATACCTTTTGTGCTGAATCTGCTTGCATTTTATTTCTAGATGCCTCTTTTGTAATATTGTTCAATGATATTTTCGCGATATCCAATTCTTTCAACAGCTTTTTAGAATTTTCTTCTTCTTCTTTTGTTTTGTTGCTTAATTTTTCTTGTAATTTTTGTTTTTCTTCTTGCAGCATTTTGATCCTATCTTCAACTCTCTTAGTCTCTCTTATAGCTATACGTTTATCCAAATTAGCATCTGATAACTCTTTTTCTTTCTTCCATAGATTTAATCGAGCCTGCTTTGCTATTTGTTTTTCAACTGTTAATTCTTCCTGTAAAGCTTCAACTTGCTGATTTAGTTTTTCTACTTTTTCTGGCCAATGTATGTCTGTATTTGTTTCTTCAAAAACTGTATGAGTTGATCCTTGTCCTTCATCTAATTCTTTCTTCAGAAGACTAGCCTTCTCTGCCTCCAGTTTTGTAATTCTATATTCTAATCGTTTTAATAGTTCTTCCAAATTGCAAACTTTGCGTAACTGTTCTTCTACAATTAAATTACAAAATAATAAAAAATATAATCAAGACTGAGAGAGGATGGCTTCGTATATAATCGAAAAAAATTGAAAAAATCACTTAAATGCTAATAGATTCAAATTAACACATAAAATAATACAAAAAGATAACTAAATAATACAGAATATTTAGTAACATAGTTTTTCTTTAACATTGCTTACCTTCTTTCTTTAAAGAATCTTGTAATCTTTTTTGCAATACAGCCTTATCTTGTGTTACTTGTTCTAGATTTTCAGCAAGTGTTTCTCTTTGCTCCAAATCTACTATAGTCTCATTTAATTCTAATTTTGTCACCTTTAAAAAAGACAATAAGTTCAACACAAATTTTATTCTAATTTTATTCTAATCATTTTTCAAGTTCAGATAATTACCTGCAATTGCTGTTTTAACTGTTCGTTTTCAAGATTTATTCTTTCTAATTGTTCTTGCAGATTTGTGAGCATCTGTTCTGATGTCCTTAAATCATCTATCTGTTTTGTTCTGTCTTGAAGTTGCTTGCGTAAAGCTTCTATCTCAGCATCTCTCGCTGGTAATGTAGCTTGTAAAGTATGTAATTGTTCCTGACAGTCTTTTAATTCAGTCTGAGCAAGCTCTAGAGCAACATTCAATCGTGACTCTCGACAATGATTTAAATCTTGCTCATCTCGTAATTTACTCTCAAGATCTTTATTCTTTGCTGTTTCAAAATCTAATTTTGCTCTTAAATCAGCCAACTGATTATGAGCACGAGCAGCTATTTCTTCTAGCTTAACTTCAACACCATGAATACTTTGTCTATTTAACTCACGTGTTTTTGCCAAGGATTCCTTATATTGTGTCTAGTTACATATTATTATAGAAAAGGTTAGTAATATATTACTATATATGTATATATTATTAAACAAGTATTGTTATTATACAAAAATTATATATATATATATATATTATTCTGTATTATTATTTAAGTAATCATAAAATAATATATATTAAATTATTACTTACTTGAAATATACGTAATTTCTCTAATTCTGCATTTGCAGTTTGCAATTCACATTCTGTTCTTTGCAAACGTGAGCTTAACTCACAATTAGTTGCACACAGTTCTGTAATCTTTTTAGTTTGTGATTCAATATGCTTGTTTAGTTGCTCAACTTTAGTCTTTTCTGCATTCTCTCTCTTGCGTTTATCTTCTCTTATTAATTTAAGTGCACGTGTTTCTGAATCTTGTCTTTCCTGCCGTTCTAATTCTAGTCCAAGGATATTTATATAAAGGATATATGTATAAAGATACATACATGTATAAACTTTACACTAACTAATGTATATCTCATGTGTTAAAATCAATCAAATTAAATCAATCATAAACCTTATAAGTTTATTTCATATTTTTTAAGACCAATTTACTGCTAAGTATAAGTTTATTCTCAGTATATAAATTTACTTAATCCTATTATACCTAATGTTCTCTTAATGTTTGCCAATTCCGATTTTGCACATATAAGTTCTTTCTCAAGAACTGTCATCTTTTTGTCTTTTTCATTTGGATCAAAGAAGTGCTTGGATTTACTTGAAAACTTGTCACAGGTCTTCAATATTTTCTTGTATTGCTCATGGCATAATTTTTCTCCCTTTTCTAGATCCATGCTTCTTTGCACTTTTGAACCTCTTTAATAGTATACAAATACATACCTTAAATAGCCTGGAAAATTAGAAAAAACAGTATTAGTTTTACATGTTCTTTACATCTCAGCGAAACAGCTCAGCAGCAAAGTGTTTTTATAATGAATCTTGTGTTTGCAGCTTAAAATACACTACTTTTATAAATGATGAGAATTTATCACTGGAATAAACACTCAAACTTGTATTTGAATCACTGGATTTATTCACTTTTATCGCGCGTTATTAATCATAACAATAATTTTATACTAAAAACTTAGCGTATTATGAGTGATGTAAACTACTGCGTTGTGACTTCTAACGGTCACAATCAGCTTCGTGCGTCGGATTTGAATTTAATACGTTGGTTGTGACAGTAGAGTGCGCGATACGAGGTCTGTTCTTTTTACCTGAACTGACCGCACTAGTTCAGGTAAAAAGAACAGACCTATGAACAAAAGCTATGTTCCAAAATTTATCGCGAGTACAGAAGAGTGCACCATATCGTTCCGCTCCAGGAGAAGTATTTCTCGGAAATTTCTCCTCCGACTGTCCCTACTACCGCGCGCCGTTTTTCTTCAATCTCGGGCCGCTGGCGGAGATCGAAAAAATACGGCGCGCGGTAGTAGAAGCAACCAGAAGAGAAATTTCAGAGAAAACCTTCCCTTAGACCGGAACGATACGGTGCACTCCTCTGTACTAAAAACACAGATTTCTATACTGCACTAGGCTGTGTTCAGTTAAGCAAGATGGAACGAACTAATGCAGGAAATGCAGGAAATACAGGAATTGGAACTAATGAAACTAATGAAAGAAGTGAAAATAGTGAAAAAAAA